TAGCTCGTTATCAGCATCAATGGCTTAGGGAGGGACAGCACTTCTGTCCTGGCTGGATCCATACCTGGCGAGCACGCAGCAGATCCTTCACCTCCGATGGGGAGGTCGGAATGATCCTGAGAGGAGTTTTCCAGCTACTCACCACCCGTCCTGAGGTGGAAACTGGGGACAGAAGAAGGGAGAGCATGCATGTGGCATGGCCAGACCTGCTTCAAACTCTCTCCCCGCTGCTGCTCTCCTCCCGCAGAGAGTTTGCTCGTTGGAAGGTGAATAATTTGGCCCTGGAGAGGAAAGACTTCTTCAGCCTACCACTTCCCCTGGCCCCCGAATTCATCCGCAACATCCGGCTGCTGGGACGCCGGCCCAGCCCCCAGCAGATCACTGACAGCCTCATCAAAAAGTATGGGACCCACTTCCTGCTGTCTGCCACGCTGGGAGGTGAGTGCTGGGGGTCCTCACCCCAACTCACTTCCCTTGCACAAGGAGCGTGCAAAGGAGGGAGAGTGGGAAAATAAGCACTGCAGGAGGAAACACGGCCAAGAAAGGGAATGTGAGGACCCCAGCAGCCTCCCAAAAGCATTGTGTGTCCCCCCAGGAGAGGAGTCCCTGACCATTTTTGTGGACAAGCGCAAGCTGAGCCGGAGGGCAGAGCCTGCTGTGGGGGCTGGGAACAGCTCGGGGGTCTCCCTGGAGACCCTGCACCAGCTGGCAGCCTCCTACTTCATCGACAGGGAGAGCACACTCCGGCGGCTCCACCACATCCAGATCGCCACGGCTGCCATCAAGGTGGGCGAGGGTGGGAGGGAGAGAGGGAGGGAGGGAGGGAAGGGGCAGAGCGGGGAAGCAGCAGCCCCGGGCCTCGCCAGTGGCCCCTCAAAGCTGGCTGAGACCCTCAAACAGCATCACCAAATAGGGCAGAGCACTGAAAGGTAACACATTCCCCTTATTTACGGGAAATTGGGCACGCTAATAAAGGCACATTTTTCAGCGGGATGCAGGCAGGGCTGCCGCCTGTCAACAAGCCAATTAGCAGGTAATTAGTTGTCCTCTCCAAGCATTGCCTCACTTGGGCATGGGGTAGCACATGCCCTGGGTCCTTTCCTATGTCCCTGACCACCTGCACACCCCCCCTTAGGTGACCGAAACACGGACAGGGCCACTTGGCTGCAGCAACTACGACAACCTGGACTCGGTGAGCTCCGTCCTGGTGCAGAGCCCTGAGAACAAAGTGCAGCTCCAAGGTAGGACCGGGCTGGTGGGGACATGGAGACGGACAAGTGCCACCGTGGGATGCTTGTGGGTGCACAGGGGGTTGTAGGGGAGGATGCTGGCACAAGATGCTGCTTTTAATTTAAGGGCTGGGGAGGAGAGGGGATGAAAGTAATGAAAGCTGGGCAGGATGAGGTTGTTGCTTGTCTGCCAAGAGGAGCCAAGATCAATGCAGAGCCCAGACAAGCGGCTCCATAGCAAATTGATATGATAATCGTGCGAGGGTGGGCGCCCAGGGCGGGGAGGAGGCTCATGCCCTCCTCGCCCGGGCAATGTCTGAGGGGCTCTGCGGGTGCCCTGACGCTCCCGGGGCTGCCTCCCGCTCGCAGGGCTGCAGACGGTGCTCCCCTCCTACCTGCGGGAGAGGTTCGTGGCGGCCGCCCTCAGCTACATCGCCTGCAGCTCGGCCGGGGAGCTGGTGTGCCGCCGGAGCGACTGCCGCTGCCAGTGCCAGCCCGCCTTCCCCCGCTGCAACTGCCCCGAGGCCGACATCCAGGCACTGGAGAGCAGCCTGGCCCAGCTCTGGAGAGCCTGGGAGAGCCACCACGGCCAGTTTGAGGAGTCAGGTGAGGCTGGGGAGACCCTACCAAGCATCTCCTTCCCCTTGTCAGCAGACCAGGCTGGGCGGTGGGGCTCCAGGGTGGTTTTCTCACCGTGAAGACCTCAGAGCTTGGGTGGAGGGAGGTGGCTGTCAGCCCCACCTTCACTGCTTGCTCTCCTGATGCCTTCTCTTTCTCCGCACAGAGGAGTTTCAGGCCTTGGTGAAGAGGCTCCCCATGGACCGTTTCCTGAACAGGACGGCCATCTCCCACTTCTGGGCTATGGATCTGGATGTCCAGCATCGCTACCAACAGCTGGGCACCAGCCTGAAGCTGCTCTCCAGGAAAACCTACCGACTCATCCGGCGGCTCTTCAACCTCAGCAAGCGCTGCCACCGGCAGCCGCGCTTCAAGCTGCCGAAGGAGAGGTAGGGTGTCCCAACATCCCCATCCCGTGCCAGGGATGCTGCTCAGCTGCCCATGGAGGGCTCAGATCCACAGCCCACCTCCCTGTGGCTGGGACTGGAGGAGCTCCTGCCTTGCTGGAGGGGTGCCTGGGGATGAGCAGACAACCTGCCTCTGCCATGCCACCTTGGGATGTGGCCCTGAGAGGGGGTCCAAACCTGGAGGTGGAAAATGGGGCTCAATTCACAGGGGGCCACCAGCAGAGCAGAAAATGAACACAAAGTGGGGAGCTCTTCCATCCCTAGGGAAAGTCAGTTGTGTCCCACGTAAGCACCTCTCCTTCTGTGTCTGCTCTCCATCAGGTCCCTCCCTTACTGGTGGAGCCGCGCACAGTCGCTCCTGTACTGCAGTGAGACCACCGTGCCTGGGACCTTCCTGGAAGAAAGCCACAGCTGCACCTGTCCCTCGGACCAGCCCTCCTGCCAGGGCTCCATTCCGTGTGCCTTGGGCGAGGGGCCAGCCTGTGCCAGCTGTGCCGAGGACAACAGCACCCGCTGCGGGACCTGCAACCACGGCTACGTGCTCACCCAGGGCTTCTGCCGCCCCGAGGTGGCCGACTCGCTGGAGCACTACCTGGGGCTGGAGACGGACCTGCAGGACTTGGAGCTCAAGTACCTCCTGCAGAAGCGGGACAGCCGCATCGAGGTGCACTCCATCTTCATCAGCAACGACATGCGCCTGGGCAGCTGGTTCGACCCCTCCTGGAGGAAGCGCATGCTCCTGACCCTGAAGAGCAACAAGTACAAGCCCGGGCTGGTTCACGTCATGTTGGCCCTCTCCCTGCAGATCTGCCTCACCAAGAACAGCACGCTGGAGCCCGTCATGGCCATCTATGTCAACCCCTTTGGGGGAAGCCACTCGGAGAGCTGGTTCATGCCCGTCAACGAGGGCAGCTTCCCAGACTGGGAAAGGACTAACGTAGATGCCTCTGCCCAGTGCCAAAACTGGACGCTCACCTTGGGCAACAAGTGGAAGACCTTCTTTGAAACGGTCCACGTCTACTTGCGGAGCCGCATCAAGTCCCTGGATGACAGCTCCAATGAGACAATCTACTATGAACCCCTGGAGATGTCAGATCCCTCCAAGAACCTGGGGTACATGAAAATCAACAGCTTGCAAGTCTTTGGCTACAGCCTGCCCTTTGAGCCGGATGCTATCCGTGACCTGATCCTCCAGCTGGACTACCCCTACACCCAGGGTTCCCAGGACTCGGCCATGCTCCAGCTGCTGGAGATCAGGGACCGGGTGAACAGGTTGTCACCCCCTGGCAAAACCCGCCTCGACCTCTTCACATGCTTGCTCCGCCACCGGCTCAAGTTGGCCAACAACGAGGTGGCAAGGATCCAGTCCTCCCTGAGAGCCTTCAACGCCAGGCTGCCCAACGCCCTGGAGCAGGAGACAGGCAAGCTGTGCAGCTAACGGCCTCGGAGCCAGGGGGCTGGGAGAAAGGACTTCCTGGGGAAGGGGGGGGGGGAAACAACCACCCTAAAAAAATTTAAATCAAGGCCTTACCTTAGTGCCAACCGCGTGCTTCCATGGTACACCCAGCGACTGGCCAAAGAGACACGGGGCTCGAGCGGATGGAGGGTGCTGCCAGGGGACTGTGGAGGAAGGATGGCTCGTGCAGCACAGTCTGGCTCCAGGTGCGGGGATGATGCCAGCACAGCCGCCACGTCAGTGGCCGGGGAGATGTGCCAATGGCCCAGGGGGATGTGGCCTGGCCAGAGGCAGCTGCTGGTCCTGCTGGAGCAGGTGCCCCACTCACCGTGAGGATCCCCCGGCAGCGGCCTCCTCGTCATCCCAACTTTTGTAGTCTTTTTAAGAGGTTTCTACAGGCGCCTTTGCACCCACATCCCCCATGATCCATCCTGCAGCCAGACCCTCGCACACGGTGCTGGTGGGGGTCCACAGCGCAGGGCCCCGAGATCCAGCAGATCTCCCCTGGGCCCTCTTCAGAAGCATCTCACACCTGCTGGGGCACCAAGGCATCATCCCTGCCTTGTGTGGGAAGGACCTGGCACCTGCACCATGGACGCTGCCAGCACAGACACCGACGGAGACCTCTGGGCCACAATTCCCTACAAAAAAAAAACAACAAAAAACCCTAAAGCAAAAGAAAGAAAAAAGGAAAAAAAAAGTTTTATTTATGTATTTATTTATTTGGTTTGTTTGGGAGGGGTTTTTTTAAGCTTATTTATTTGGGGAGTGTCATTTCTTGTCAGTGGCTCCAGCCAAGAGACATCTTAGTAAAATGTATCTGTTTAATATATTTTTTAAAAAAATGCCTTTTTTGAGCAAAAAAGCAACCAAAACCAACTGAGATTAAAAAAAAAAAAAAAAAAAAAGAAAGAAAAGAACAGAACAGTTACTGTCATCCCTGGCCCTGGCTTTTCCTGTGCTGTGAGGCTCCCTCCCTCTCTCCCTCCTTCCCGGTGCTGCTGCCACTGCCGTGCTCAGTGCCTGACTGGAATATCAAGCAGTGGAGCTGCCCGTCTGTCAGATGGCAACGATGGGTACCCAGACAAGTGGAGCTCACTGCTTCACTGGATGCCCTCATTCCTAGGACGAGGATGAGCTAGGGAGAGGAAGGAATCAACCCTCTGACCCACAGCATCCCCAAAGCAGGAGGTGTGGACAGAGGGGATGGTCCAGGGAAAAGGAGAGGAGTGTGAAAAGTGTAGCAGTGTGTGGATCTGAGCCTCCTCCCTAATCCTCCCCGCCTGTCAAGACTTGCCTGCTTGGATGCTGCAAAAGCAGTGGTAACCCAAACTCATCCATCCTGCTTCTGTCACCCGACTCTCCTCCATCCTCGGGCTGGGCAGATAAAGAGATAAACATGAGTAAAATAACACCAGGAGAGATAAATAGATAGGTGAGAGGAAAATAAAACTGGGATAGATAAACCACACTTGCTATTTATATTCCCTGTCTAATCTATCAATCCATCAGCCTGGCTCTTGTGGCTGTAGCATCCCTCAATCTGTCACCTGGATGTCTCTTCTCCACACATCTGTCTTCCTTTGCCCACCTCTCCTCCCTTGCCTCCCAGTCCTAAAGGAAAAAAGAAAAAAATTAGGCAATTAAACACACCAAGAGGAAATGGGAAGTCAAAGCCATCATCTCTGCTCCCCAGGGGAAGCCAGGAGACATCAGCCCAGGGATGAGGAGGGTATAGGTGGGAAGGCTGGCAATGCTCCTGAGCAGGCAGGGCTGCTGGGAGGTTTCCCAGCTAGTAAGGCTATTTTGGCTTCTGCTATGCATCTTCCTGGGCCTTCACATCACTTCTTGGTTGCCCAGAGAAGCCGTGGCTGCCCCATCCTTGGAAGTGTTCAAGGCCAGGTTGGGTGGGGCTCTGATCAACCTGGTCCCTGTCCATGGCAGGAGGTTTGGAACCAGGTGAGCTTTAAGGTCTCTTCCAACCCAAACCATGCTATGATTCTTCTCCCCATCATCACATGGGTCATGTGTCAGGCTAACACTGATCTACTCCACCCTCTGTCTTCTCCAGACAGAGCATTTCCTACTGTGTTTTTCAGTGCCCTGAACCAGTCCCACATCCTAAACCCACCTGAACATGAACGCAAGAGCTGTTGGGATGATTGGCAGCATCTCATGGAGCCTCTTGAGGCGTCCACTGAGGGATGGACCCCAGGCTTCTCTGCCTTGCTGCTGGATCCAGAGACAGGCGGGTGTGCAAGGACAGAGGGGGATGAAGGCTCTTTACTTTCAATGTAATGCAAAAAATAAAAAGGGGGAGAGGGGGGGAGGCAGACAGCTGGAGAGATGTGCTGTCAACTCTGCATCCTCAGCAGCTGCCCCCAAGACTGCACTCTCCTCTCTCCACAGCCCCCCCCCCCCAGCAAGATTCCATCGACTATGGATCAAAAGCAAAAAGTTTGGCCCAAAATTGCCAATTCCCATCAGGAATGAGGCGGTGCACAACATTCCAAGGCTGGCAGCTGGCACAGCACCTTCTCAGCAAAGCACCCCATTGGGAAGCATAGGAGCCTGCAGACAAAACCATCAGCCCCCAACACCATGGGGCTGCACACTCTCTTTAACCCACTGGAAGAAAAGACAGGGCTGGTTCCTTCAATTTTGCTGCCAAATTGCTGTACTTTGGGAGAGAATCACTTCCACCTTTTCAGGGGGGCTGAGGGGTAAATGTGTGAGTTAGAGGAAGAGCAGCAGCATTGTACGTGTTCCAGGAAGGGACCACCAGGCTGCATGGGAATCTCAGGTGGAAGCAGCCAGGTCCTCCCATCCCTGTTGGGCAATTAAGGCACTCAATGGAGGTGATTAAGAGGATGAGGTTAATAACTGGAGGTCAGCATTTGATTACCTTGCAGTGTTTTCCCCTGCAAAGAACAACGCCAATGGCAGCAGAGCTGGCTGGAGAGTCACTGCTGCACAGCACCAGCAGGGTCTGGCCTTGGGATATAAACAGCCAGTGTGCCACCCTGAACCAGGAATTCAGCATCAAACCCATTAGGTGTTAAAAACTGGGTTTATCCTTACCTGGGCTCTGTGTTCACAGGAGATTCTCTGCAGCATGAAAGCCAGAAAACTGCCTTTAAATAACGAGCGGAGCTCCTCACTTGCTTGACTGCAGACACCTCAGTTCCCTCCAGACACATTTATTCAGCAGCTCTGCCAGGGAAAAGGAGGCTGGGATGTTTCACCCCCAGGCCCAGCAGCAGGAGGGGGTTATCTGCAGAGCTCTCCCCAGGAAGAGCTCAGGGCTCCCAGATGGGGGCTGGTCCCACCTCCGTGTCCCACCCTGAGACTGCCAGTGATGGGCTACAGCTGAACCAAACAGCTCACAGCTCCAGCTGTCTAACTTACACCCTTTTCCCCCTTCCTGTTTTCATCCCTTTTCTGCAGCACTGGCTGAGCCTCCAGCCCTGTGTGCCAAGGGCATCACCACATCAGGCTGTGCCGAAACAGCCAGGACAGTTTTTCCATGACGAGCCAGGATGGAGAGATGCTGTGGGGCTAAATCTGCATCCTTGCTCCAGCCTGCCTCAGTTTACCCTCTCATAGCTCCCAGCTGATGCTGTGTCAGCCTGGGAGAACATGGAATGTGCAGGGAATAAAACATCACAGGAGAGGAGGGAGGGCTGAGGAGGGTAACACTCTCTTTGCGTGCAAACTGCATGTCGGTGCAGATGCTGCTTGAAATCCATCACCGTGGTCTCTTGGTTTGGGCTGCAGGATGGGCAAGAAGTGGGAATCACACGTTTGGCTTGGCAGGAGGCTTCATGCTGAGCATTTTACCCAGGGCTCCTCTGGCTCTGTTAGGTGCACAGAACCACCAGGCAGCTGCCAACAGATCTGCTCTGCTGTTTGACAGCATTTCTGGGGGAGGCAGGCGATACCAGTTTGCCTGCAGACCTCTCCATGCCAGCACGGGGCTGCTCCAGCTTCTTCCTTATAACACAGTTTCACCACAGGTACCAGAGATGCCCCTGGGCACGCATGGGATCACCACTCACTCTCCCGACTAACCCAGCAGATGGTGGGATGTGATCCCCAGGAAACCAGCTTCCCCTGGTTGGGCAGTGTCCTGCTCCGGAGCTGCTCTGCCAACACAAGCCCACAAACTTGTCATTGTTCTCTTCACACTCCAGGCTCGTGGGTGGTGGGGTTTGCCATCAGCCTCCCTGCTTCCCACTGCCTCTCTGAAGCCCAGTGGCATCTGCATAGCCAAGAGATGAGCCAAAACCTCTTTTTTAGCCTCATCTTTTTTTTCCTCCCCCTTCTCCTGACAAGCTCAGAAGTGCAGTCAAGGTGGCAAATTAGCACCAGAGCCTCGTTAATTGGCAGGCAGGAGCCTTCTCCTGCTGTTTGGGCTGTCATCAGCTGCTTCAGCACATTTTCAGCTTCTCTCTCTTTGGGTCTATTTTCTCCCTTTGCTGACGGTGGGCTGGGTTTTTTCTCTTTCAAATCCATCGAGGCTCTCATCCTCCCATGCCATGCTCCCTGGTGTTTTCTCTCCAGAAAGCATTCACAGGGCCTGTGGTAAATGGCCACTTCTTAGAGAGCATGAGGGGACAATTAATAGGCTCTTGAAATGATGACAACCTCATCTTCTTCCTCCCTTTTCCTCCTCCTCAGCTTCCTGCCGCAGTCTCTGAAGAAGGCAGGAGAAGCAGCACAGTGCAGGTAAGAGGGAGGTTTCTGTGAACCCAGGTATGCAGGAGATATCCCAGCCACCCTCCTGTGTCCCCACTAGGAGCCCAGTGAGGATCTGGGGTGGATCAAACTGGTGGGGACCTCAGGAATCCCCGATCCCAGTTCCTCAGCTCCCTTCTTCCTTCCCCACTGACTCCTCCTTAAGCAAAGATGGAAAAGCGCAACCTTACCCACCCAACCCCACTGCCTGCACTACCTCTTGGCCTCCTTGAGTGCCCTCAGCTGCTCCCAGCTCTCAAGGAGACCCTGGGGAGACCTCTTCAGACACCATCAAATAAAGCCTCTTCACAGCATCCCATTCTGCAAGCAGAGAAATTTGCTGGGGACCGAGAATGACGACGGCAAATTGCTGTTTCCTCCCCAGGCTCAGGGCTGGGAGCTGCTGCTGCTGCCAGCAGTGGTACCACCATGCATTAAATACGGGTGCCCTGCCCTGGGCTGGCACCTCAGCTGGTGTAAATCAGCCCTGCTGGAGCCAGGGGCATGGGTGATTCATGGCCAGGAGCCTGGCTGGAGGACTTACCTCATCAGGCTGGACCCTGACCCCCCATCCTGGGACAGTGGTCCCAGGAGAGAACCCCCCTGGGACATTGAACCCCCCACAATGCTCCCAGGGGACCTCTGGGCTGTGCTTCTGGATCAAAGGTTGAGACAGTTGAATTTTGGTGGGATGACAAGATACATTTTGGAGGGGTCTTGCTAGAGGGTAAAGCTCTGTGGAATAATATCCCAGACAAATCTGCAAGACAGACCTCTTGCTCCTGCTACACATGCCAGGAGCAGAGACTGACTGGATGGAAAGAAAGAAGGAGAGAAATCAGTCCAATTATTTTTAAAAGTGCTCTCCCAGCCTACAGGCATCCTCTTCTCCGTACACAAACCCTCCTGGGACACACAAACCCTCCCAGCCCATCTGCCTCAAAATCAGCAGTGGTTGCTACATCGGTTACCACCTTCCAGCTTTTCCCTTAATATGATTACCTGCGATAGTTCCTCTCCTTTTCCTTGCCCCTGGCATTATTGATCCACTCAGGGAGATGGGAATTGAGGAAGATAAAGGGTCTCAGGGGCCTATTTCTCCACCTGTAGCCCATTTTATCACTGGGAGAGCCCACTCCACCGAGGATTTATCTCCCACCTTGTTTTCCCAAACTGGTTTCTATGGGTGTTTCGCCAACATAACAGTAAAAAAGTATGGCACATAAACCACCCCAAATAGTGTCCAGGGGCGGGAAATCCTATAAATCCCAGGAGGCTGCTGGAAGAAGAGAGATGTTTGGATTGTGCCTGCTCCATCCAAGTCATCTCATCAGGAGGCTGTAAATCGGGGGGGTCCCCCAAAGCCCACAAAACTCCCTTAGGAAGAGATTCCTTCTCTCCTGAGCCTCGGCAGTGGCGATGGGAGCAGTGCTCGCAGAAAAGCTCCTGGGGGAACAGAATCAGTGATTACCCAAATTAGTTTCTAATAGCTTTTATCTCCTAATTTCTACTTTGTCAAGTGCTAAAATCCATTAATAATCAAGAGACCATGTGGAAAAACATTTAACATCCCAGCTGCCAAGAGCTCCCACCCTGTCACGCTCCAGCAAAGTTAAGGGAGAGGAGGAAAAAAATAATACTTTATTTTTGAATCTTAAATCCAGCTCTCCATATAAACCATCACCTGCTTTTGCTGATCTGCAGGATGATGGGACAAATCCATGCATGGAGCCACAGATGCTGCCCCTCCATGCAGCCCTTACTGGAGAATATCAACGTGTTCCTCCATGGGCTGAGGTTGGGGTGGACCTTTTCCACTCTTCCACTCTCCAACAGCTCTCCCAAAATACTGCAGCCCTTCATTCCTACCCACTTCAGCGGCTCAGCTTTATCCATTCCTGATCTTGCCCTCACAGAGCCGACCTCAGCCCTCTGGTCACGGCTCAGGTGGAAATCTGCCCCTGCTTTGCTCCGATTTGCATCATCACCCCTCTCTTAATCACCTGTTTGAACAGTTTAATGGACTTCTAATGAAATATTGCATTTCTGAAGCTCCCCACGATGGAATAATTCCCCCCGGCATCCCCGGAGGGATGCACACAACCGCCGCACGGCATCGCCCATGGCTCTCCCTCCACGTCTGGGCTGCCTCCCCAGCAGCAGCATCCTGCAAAAAAAGAGGGAAATAGAACCCTGTGTCCAACCCAGAGGTTGTTGCCTGAGCAACAGCAGAGGTGGGTGCAGGGATCCGGGCGGCACAGCCAGAGGTGAACTTCAGACAGAATTGCCGGAGGGTTACGGGCACCCTGTGGGAAAAAAGTGGGAGCAAGGAAGGAATTGGGATGTTGCTGCATAAATCAACGGCTGTGGGACTTGTGGGGAGGTAGGGGAAGCACGACAGGCTGAGCAGGGTCAGTGCCTGCAGCATCCTGCATCCCAGCTGGGTGGCTGTGGGGGGGGAAGTGGTGGAAGGGGCACATCAGGGTGAATTTGAGAAAATCTTGTTTGAAGAATACTGTTGTCCAACATGCCCTGGCCTCACCACACATTTCTCCTTCCTCTCTTGCCAAGGTGACCTGAAGAAGGAGACTGAGATGCTTTTCTTTGCACCTTAACCATTGCCCAGAGGCAGGAGTGACTGACCCAGTACAGCAAACCCAGTATGCCCCTAGAAACAATAAGGCCTCATCTCCACCTGACTGGGAGTCTGTTGGCCTGTCCAAGGCTTGGTGGGCACATGCAAACTCTGTCCTGAACCCCTGTGCCTCGAACAGCCCTGGCTCAGGTGTTGGTCAGGCAGAGGTGAGCCCATGGCAGTGGCACCGTGACCACCTCAGGGCTGGACCATTGCCAGCCAGATCTTTGTTAGGACATCAATCCCGTAGTGACCCTGCTGGTAAAGGCTGGGACATCACTAGCACCATGCACATTTCTCCCCCCCTCTCCTCCTGCTCTCAGCAAGGCTCAGAGTCTGGTTATGGATTTATTTGCATTTTGCTGTTGGCTCACACATCGTTAAAGAGCTGCTGTGATGTTGGCTCGGGAGCTGCGGGCCCCGGGCACTCATGAGCCCTCCATTGACCACTGCACTGTGGTCACATCCATACATGGAGTTAATGGATATCGCCTCCACCATGGCACTCTGGGCCCTGGGGATACACAGCATCACTCGGGATCAAACCCCTGCACAGGCTTTCTTGCACAGGGCCGAGTGTCAGGGGCTGCTACAGCACCCACGTCATCCAATCACAGGGTGATGGAATGCCGGGATGGGGTCCGTTGCTACAGGTGCTTCCCAGGGGTTTGCTCCAAACCCAGAGAGATTTAGTTGCTGGAGGAGAGGGGGGGTTTTAGTAAGGTCACACACCGAAATACATCCAGACACATCCAGTACATAAAACTACAGTCTGTTTCCCCTCTAATTGGTAATAAATGTAAATGTTTAGTTATGCCTGGCTTGGGAGCTATGAAAAACACATCTGGCTGGCTGGTTTTCCTGCCTGCCATCTGTAGCCAAAAGGAAATGCGAGAGGTGTGTGTGCGTGCACCTGAGCAAGGTGGGAGAGAGGGAGTGGGAGCAGGAATGGAGAAGGAGGAGGATTGCTGGAGCAAGGAAGGTTGTTGCTGGAGGGTGGTTTCTGGCCAGGGCTTTTCCCTCTGCTCATGGGGAACTCCAAGTTCTGTATCTCTGCTCGGTCCTGTGCTTCTCTCCAGGTAATGCAGCCCTCAAAGGAAGGGCCCATTCCTGCCACAGCTGCTGACACAGTATTCCTGCAGGCATTGGTGGGGGAAACAAAGCCAGCAAGTCTCTGGAAGTCTCCTCCTGGCCATTAATTTCCATTAACCAGAAGCTCTGATCTGCTCCAACCTTGAGCAGTGCCTTATGCAACCCTTCATCCCACACAAAGACCTTATGGCTGAAACGGTCAGACCCTGCTGGCAAAAAAGGGGTGCTCTGTCCACCCCGCCCCTGTTCCAGAGCTGTCCTCAGGTCTGCAACACCCGACCTGCAGCACCATCCCCACCAGTTAAAGACTGAGAGGAAACCACTGACCCAAGGAAGCAAACACAGTCCGTTCGCAGCTCTGAAAACTTTCTCACTCCCAAGGTCCCCCAGGGAAGCTGGGAGAACCAAAAAAGCTAATGAGTACAGAAAGCCCGGTTTGCCACAGAATTAAGCGCAGGGGCAGACGTAGATTCCCCCTCCCCACCTCCCAAACTATGGGTTTCTGCCCTCTGCCATCAGCAGCTCCGGCCCCCACAGCAATGCCACGTGCTGGATTCACAGCAGCCCTATCCCAGCTGGGGCTCTGGGCACCCAGCAGCCTTCCTCCTCCTCTTCCTCTGCCTGCCTGATTCACTCTTATTCTGACAGCAACGCCTCTTACTTTGAAGCAGGTTTTTCTCGGAGAATGAGCTTCGTTTTCCAGACCGTCCCCAAAGAGCCTGCGAGTACTCGCTCTCTCGTCCCTCCCCCTGCCTTGATCAAGGCTGAGGGCTGAAATCCAAGTACATTGATCAAAGCGGCTTCTTCGGGCGAGATTCACTGGCAAGGAAAAGCAACAGTTGTTGGGGAGCTGGTCCAAGGGGCCCATGGTTCCTCGCCAGGAAGAAGACGGTAGTGGTGGGTAGGAGGTGAGAAGGACTTCACAGAGCCCAGGGCAGCGAAGCAAAGAGATTTTCAGTGACCAGTGGGGTTGTAGGCTGTCACAGGAGAGAGGAATGCTGTGAGATTCGGGATTGAGCAGCAGCCAGACGTCCTACTTCTGGGCTCTCCTAGGGAAAGATGCAACTTTACGACTGGGACAGAGATCAATGATGCCTGGGCACAGCGTGGCTGTGTCCAAAGTCTTTTGCCTGGAAACAAAAGCCTCCCATTCCTAGGGGGGCAGCTTTAAAGCAGCTCAGACTCCACAAAGCCCCGTGAAGAGTGTTGGGCTGGCAGGCCCAGACAGCAGCCCCCTGGTTCGGTGCCGAGCACCGACGGGGCTGGGTGCCAGGTACTCATGCCAAGGTGAAAGCAGAGATCAGGCAGCCAGATGGCATCTTCCCA